TTCAGGAGTGGGGTTTTTCTCTGATGAAGGTGGGCTGTGATGGTCTGCTCTGAGATTCCATCTAGCTCTGTGATGTTGAGAGATGACTGGATGGTTTCCACATCCACTCCAAGGTAACCCACGCTTCCTCCTGAGCCCTGTGAACAAGGAAGAGCCCAGGTGCTTAGCAGGAATGGTGAGCCACACCCCAGGCATGAGTCAGAGCCCCCATTCAGCCAAGATGGGGAAGGGTGATGGGGTGGAGACTATCACAAGTTTCACATTCTCTCGCCCTGTCTTGTCTTTGATTTTATATTCGTAAGGAAGGGCATTTCAAAGTGAACCTGTGCCTTATGGGGAGCCCTTCTCCCTGCCATGAATGACGCGCAAAGCACACCCTTGTTTTCCTTTTCCTGGTTCTTTCTTAGTTTTCTATTGCTTTGTGGGAGTGGCAGTGTAAAAGTAGGGGCAAGACTGGTTTGTGAGGCCATGTGCCACGTGAAAGCTCAGGCTTCTTGTTCAAGAACTATTAAGAATTTCTACATGGCAACAGCAGAACAAAACCAAGCATGAGGCCCTTCTACATGTAGGCCTGTGTAACTGCACAGATGCCCATAGGGCCATACACAGAGGGAGTGGACCAGGGAGTCAGATGGGGATCTGGAGTGGAGGACCCTCACTGGATCTCAAACCAAAGCCAAAACATGCAAGAAGCCTTCCCCATCTGTAATGAATGTGAAAAATGGTGTAACATGAGCAGATTGGTATCCAGAGAGTCTCGAAAGATTGCACTTAGATTCTGTGGCTGTCAAGAACAGACTTTATCTTGCAGAGGAGAAATAGAGGCCGAGATAGAAGAGGTGATCCTCTGAAGATCACATCGCTTGTTAGTGACAGCATGGGAACTAAATCTTAGGCTCTCCAACTTCCATGCCAGTGCCCTTTCTAAGCCTCAGTGAACCTGTACAACAGTGAAATTGTTCTCTTTCATCGTGGATGAAACTGGAACTTGGAAATAGGAGTGAGATGCAGGGAAGGAAATGAGATAAATGATAAATGAACGGAGAAAACAAAACAGTTTAGAAAGCCAAAGCAGTTTGTCTGGGTCCTATCTGATACACAACATACAGCAAAGCAGACAAATGTCTGTGTGGCAAAACAAAACTGGAGGAAGCAGATATTTTCAAATAAAATATGCATACTTCCAACCAGCCTTGAGCTCATCTGATAAGGGACAGATTGTCCAGAGTAAATAGAGAGAAAAAAAAGATGCTTTGGGCTGAATTTAGTCCCTTGTCAAAAGCAGAAGGGGCTTTTTGTTTCTTCCTCTCTGAAATGTCACCTCTCTAGCTGCAAGGCCTCCTAGGGCTGTGAGGGAAAACACAGTAGTTTATATATTTGTTCGTTTACTCATCCACCCATCCATCAAAGTAGGTACCTTTTGAGTACCTACTATCGGCATTGTACTGTGCTAGATCCTGAAAAGAATGTTTTGTTTAAGACATGGCCCTTATCTTTAAAAAAGGTAGACAGATACATATAGGAGAAGAAAGAAAACCGTAAGAGTGCAGTACTAGTGACGTGTACTGTGTAGTATTGTAACTCAAGAGAAGGGGAAATTCATGTTGCTCAGTTCCTGTTTACTTCGAAAACCGCTGCCAGTACCTATTCATCATAATTGAGCTCGTCTTTCCCAAAGGACTCCTGGGACGAGGGGTGTATCTGGGGAGTTGGGATATGGGATTCTTGTAGACACTACCTATTTACACCCAGTGATGCATGTTTATGTACCAATTTTTATCTGCATGATCCGCTATGGAGGAGACCTGGAGATGAGGTGATTCTGGTTCATACCTGACCAGGATCCATGCCACTTGTACTTCCTTCTGCCCATCTGCAGCCCCAGGCAGTATGTAAGAGAACAGCTCTGCTGAGTCCAGGGAGAAGGCTAGCTTGTGTGACCATCGGGGTGTCACTCCATCCCCATCGGAAAAATGGCAGGAGGAGTTCTAATATACCGAAGTTTCCTAACCTAAATTAGTAACAACATACATTATTTCTCATAGACATTAGAGCTGAATGAGAAGAGAAAGGAGAATAACTTGTAAAGGCAATTATTATTATTATTTGAGATGGAGTCTCACTCTGTCTCCCAGGCTGGAGTGCAGTGGCACAATCTTGGCTCACCGCAATCTATACCTCCTGGGCTCAAGTGATTATCTTGCCTCAGCCTCCAGAGTAGCTGAATGACCACTATACCAGGTGCCCACCACCGTACCAGGGGTCCGCCACCATACGCAGTTAATTTTGTATTTTTAGTAGAGTCAGGGTATCACCATGTTGGTCAGGCTAGTCTTGAACTCTTGACTTCACAACCAGCTAATTTTGTATTTTTAGTAGAGTCGGGGTTTCACCATGTTGGTCAGGCTAGTCTTGAACTCCTGACCTCAGATGATCTGCTCGCCTTGGCCTCCCAAAGTGCTGGGATTACAGGCATGAGCCACCACGCCTGGCCTGTAAAGGCTATTATAGAAGAGAGAGAAGGGATAAAACACAGAGTGAAAAATCTCTTAAGGCCAATCTGGTAAAATTATTCTGTGCTTCCCTGCTCCTTGGCTGTTGAGCATGTCATCCACTGGGAGATCTGTACACAGCCTTTGCTATGCCTGGAAATATAGACTTGAAGTGAATTCTTACATATAGCCATATGTTCCATAATAGTATTGCTTCATATTCATACCAATACTTTGAATTTTAAAAAGCTCTTATCACCTTCAGGATCTCATTTTCTCCTTCAACAGCCCAGGGAGGTTGGTGGGATCTGTATTATAATTCCCATTGCACAGAAGAGGCAAGCAAAGCCTGGGGAAAACTAAGCTATTTGTCTCTGATCCCAGTGAGCAGCTGAACAGGCACCAGAGCTGAGGTTCTGCATGCGGCATCATTTCTACTGCTTATGCTTCTCCTGGATGTGTTATGTTTCCTGCCCTAGTTACTGCAGGCTGCAGTATGGTGGAGCTCAGCATGAGCTGGGAGGAGCATTCAGTGCCTACTAGAAACCTAATGAGAATTAGGTGGATGCCATGTGAACAACCGATGACTTTTCACAGAGTTTCTTTCCCTTTAAAATAACATACTTCAAACAGCAGTGCACTGGTTAGTCCTTTTAAGAGATCAGGCTGGCATCCAGCATGTCTCCATTCCTCCCGCCTTTTTTGCCCCCACCCTGGGCCATCATAAAGACACTTGGAGCTGAGTGGGAACAGTATTTGCCTCGCAATTATTTCTAATTGCCTGGTAGTTTTGTGGCGTCTAAGTGATGTGACCTAGATACCAGTTCTGTGAAACTCTTTTCAGCCTGGGGTCTGCATTAGGGAGGGGACATAAATCCTTTTGATCAGGCAACTGTGGCTGAAGCCATCTCACCAATAACATCTATACCCAACCCTACCATCTGTGCTTGTTGAAATCCTAGCTCTTTTTAGCAGTCCGGATCTAATGCTGCTTCTTCCTCCGTGCAGCCCTCCTGGGGTTGCTCCCTCCTCTGGATTCCCAGAGTACTTGTTATCATGCTGTCTGTGATGCTTATCATCCTCTCCACTGCGCAATGCTAATTTGCTTACAAATTTTATCTTCTTGAGCTCCTGATGCCAGAGACCATGTTTGGTTCATTTTTACGTCCTTGTCTTCTTGGAGAACTGAGAAAAGCAAAGGTAGTTGCTCAGTTAACTACTGTTGAATGAGTGAGTACACATGATGTCCTCCACTCTGTGGAGGCAGATAAAAGGACTGTTAACTCATTGTGACCTCTCCTGCTGGTTTTAGGTGAGTTGCCAGTTTGCAGTTCATCTCCTATGGAACCTCTTCATAACCTCGGTATTCCTGGAACTTTGAACAACATTTTTTGAAGGGTGAATGTCAGTTATTTTTCTTTTAAAAGAATGGAATTCAAGTAGTCTCATTTGTCAGTGCACCCCAGTTTCTCCAGCCATCAAACAAATACAATCTGATCTGGCCAGAGTCTGCTGAATGAAGTCGAGAATTTAGGATCAAAAATTGAAATTCAGTCTTACATATACAGCATTTTGTTTTCCGTGCTCTCCTTTCTTCCAGCAATCCACCTACTTGTGCTGTTCATACTTCATTTTATACCAATTCTGTATGTAGAACACACTTGTTTAGGTTTCAAAATGTGTTCATTAAGATTCTATTTCACTTTTTTAGCACCGTTGCTATGTCAAATCCTATGCTAGGTTTATTCTCATATGCTTCCTTTCAAATTCTATCTGCATTTCTGAAGGAGAAATGATACTCCCAACTTGCAGATTCCCCCCCCCCCCCCAGAAAACACCTCAGAAAGATAAATTATGACTTGCCATAGGTTTCAAAGCCATTAAATGACAGATCAGGATTTATTACATAGATATTAATAGATCATCATTAATTCAATGTGGATTTATTTATTACTTACTATCTGCTGGGTATTGTGAGGAGTATATGAGAGAATAAGATTTGTATAGCATTACCCTCAGGGGGCTCACAGTCTAGGGAGGGGGATACATACTTCCATAGAGACAGTATCAGGTGGTGCATTTTCTAATAGGACTACTGACCAGAGATTCTATGTGTACATGTGTTTGTTTTCAGAGACATACTGCTCTACATGTCTTCTACATTTTTGACAAGAGTGATTGTGATGCTTAAAACAAAAAATACCCAATAAATCAAGCCATGATAAAGAATATTAATAATAGGAGTATAGGTTTCAGGCTTACACTTCATTATAGCTACTTGGAGGCATATGGAAGCCATAGAGGAATGGACGGTAGGCTGCTTCTCCGCACTTGGCTGGATGTGTATTAGAGGAAGTTGGCAGAAAAATGCAGGGTTCCTTGAGGGAGAGGACAGGAGAGAAAGGTGTGTCATTGCAGAACAAGAAAGTCCCCACCCACGAACCCAGTTCTCTGCCTCCGAGAGGTGGAGTTCCACCCTGTAAACATCCTCAGTCCTTTTCTTTGACACTTTGTTCGAGGGTGAGAATGGAACTCTCAGCCTACTTGGTGAAGTGAGATTCAGACTGAGTGGGGTCACAGCACAGGGCACTGCCTTGCCTGGCTTTATCTGAGCCAGTCACACTTTTACTGGCGATTCTCTGTGGTCTAGCCCCCTTTGTCCAGGAAGAGAAAGAAGAGCCTTGAGGACTGGTCTAGTCAGGTAAGATCAAGTGGCTTGTCACTGGTTCTGCAGAGATGGGTTGTTTCTCTATGAACCAATGACTCCTGAAACCCTAGGCTGAGTTTCTGGTCACCTTCACCACTGGCTTATAGTTTGGTCTAGGTTTGTAGCTTTACATTACCATGTGAAATTCCCCTATTCTTCCTTACTGTCCAAGGTTGATGAGGTTTGTGGACTAGCACTGTAAAGCCACTTGACATACTTATCTATATATTGATTTTGATCTTAATTACCCTATAGTGCAGTAGGATGGGTATAATTTTCTCCATTTGGTGGCTTAGTGAACTGAGGCTTGGTCAATTGAAGTGATTTGTTCAAATTTAATCAGCAGGCTAAGGCCAAGATTAGACTGGATTCCTTCTTCCCACTTCCTCTGTTATAGAACCCAGCAGGTCATACCTTATCCCCAAAAGCCAAAAGAAGTGAAAAGCCTTTCTGAACTGTTAAATGGTAAACAAAAGGTGATTATTTCTTTGCAGGCAGTTTGAGAGAGTTATTTTTTAATTCATCTGAAGGAAATTTTATAATGACACATAGGTCCCGTCAAACAGGGCCGTTTTTAGAGGACAAACAGGAATAGGTATGTAAAGGGGAGTTGAAAACTGAAAGTGATATGCAAAGGAGGCAACGCTGACTGCTTCAAGCCTGAGACATCCTCCAGATCTCTGTATGAGCAGGTTTTAATTCCAGGCTAAATGACACTCTCCAAATGTCAGAGGCAGCGTAGTGAGGCACGGATCATACAGGCTCCGGGGAAATGTTTCAGCTTTTCAGTCGTACCGTGGTATGTAGAAAAGCAAACTTCCATGGGGGGAAAACACCCGCAAATCCTTTCAAATTGACTCATGCAATTTCCTCTCTTTTGGCAGCTAGCATCATATCTCATTGTTCTACAGTTTTAAGGAGATCTCATCTTCAGTCATTATGTAGTTTACTTTTTAAGATGCTAATTTTAGCTATCATTTTTTCTTTTCATGCTCGAAAGGTTATATCACTCTTAGTTGTAGAAGGAAATGTTCCTTCTGTGTGTGTATGTGTGTGAGTGTGTGTGTATGTGTCTGTTTGCGTTTATTATGACAGTGCTAATATTTATTCCGTGGGACCACCATAAATGAAGTGGGTTGTAATGCTACATTTGGCAGATATATATATATATACACACACACACACACACACACACACACACACACACACACACACACACATATATATATATATATATAAATAGAGTCTCACTGTGTCACCCAGGCTGAAATACCATGGTGCGATCTTGGCTCACTGCAACCTCTGCCTCCTGAGTAGCTGGGATTACATGCACGTGCCACCATGCCCATCTAATTTTTGTATTTTTAGTAGAGACGAGCTTTCACCATGTTGGTCAGGCTGGAACTTCTATATATTCCTAGTACCTTTCTGGCTGTAAGGATCCTGAAGAAATCATTTAATTGGTTACCTTATTCAAAAGAGAGAAACTGAGGCCCAGGAAGATAAGTGATATGGACAAGTCACTCAGCCAGTGTCACTGGAGCGGTAAGTCACATGTGGGTCTCTTACTCTTTCCCTGCCCACGATGTATAGTGAATGATGATGGGTATCCCAAGCAGAAGCATTAGCTGTGTCATTTTGGAGACTGTACCCAGATGTCCTTTAAGATTTCTTCCAATTAAAAGTTGTAGGGCACTTAGACCTTTGCTTAGCATCTACTGGAGATGGTATCATGCTGTTTAGAGCAGGTAACTTTGTCAGAGAAGCCTCTTTCTTTATCGATTTGCTTCTTCTGGAATATTTGTTTCAGCCAGATGTTGGAACTGTTCCTTAGGTATAAGATGGGAGATGGGCAAGAAGCGGTGGCATCCTCATTTTCTTCAGCCTGTCTGGATTTTTGTATCTTCTGGAATCTTTGTAAATAAATGTCATTCAGTTTAATACCTTTTAAACTTGAAGTGATTTTTTACTCAGCATTGTTGAATCTAATGGCAGCATCAAGCCTGAGATTTCATTCACTCCAGAGGTCACAGAGCAGCAGCCACAGGTGAATCTAGCCTGCAGATGTGCTTTGTTTGTGCTGCCATGTTAAACAACATAAAACTAGTTCCAAAGTATGTGATATCTAGGAAATTTCCAGTAAAAAATCCAGATGCCTTGTTTTCAGGAAGATCAAGAGATCTGATAATAATGAACCTGCATCCCCATATGGGTAACACCTGGCTGGGGGCTGGGCAGCATAGTATTCCTGGAGATAGAACATGCTTTCCCCAGTACCCCCCAGCTCCCTTTGTACCTGATTTAGGCTACCAAGTGTTTGAATTTTCCACTTCTGATATCTTCCAACCGCTTAGGTATTAGAATTCCTTTCATTCATTCGCTTTCAAGAGAAACCTAGTTCTAGCTACCTAATGACAGATCAATGGCACCAGGGAAGAAGTGAAGTTAATTCTTTGTCCCTAACTTCTCACTATGTAAGAGGTAGAGGATATATGATGACTTCAGCATAACATACCGTTGACTCTGATACCTATCCAGGATATTTTCTTCAGCTAGCTATTGAAACTCAGTGACTTGAATGATAAAGTATTAAGCAAGATGACACTGCTGCAGCATAATATTTAGGTACCTATGAGAGAGTAGGAAGGACAGTTGATACTTGCAGGGTAGGTATTCCTCTTTACTCAATGGATCAATGGCAAAAAAATGAGAAAAGAAATTATTATGTATGATAGTACATGGAAAACAATAGAATGCCCTGTTTCCAAAGAATCCAAATTGCTGAAATCCTGGAAACTAGCTTAACGATATGTTTTCTATTATTCATTCAGTAATATAATAATCACCTTTTGATCACCTATGGTGTATACAACCCTAAGCATAGGGATTTAGGGGTAAAGAGTAGAGACCCTTTCTGAAAGGGGCTTACCATCAACTATTGAAAATGTGTACACAAATAACTATAAGGCAAGACAAAATATGATAAATTGCAAGATGAAGAGGGAAACAAATGTTGAGATCTCACGAAGAAGAGATTTATGGCAACTAGGTAGGTTACCATCAGATATAATTGTAAGGATGAAATGGAACTTGAACTGGGCTTTGGACCAATAGACGTGGGAAGAGTTTTCAACAAGAGAAGAGTTTAAGTAAACTCCCAAGTCAGTACTCTCTGAAGTACATTTGAAGGGTAGAAAGCATTTCTGTGGCTAAATATATGGCCAGTGGAACTGAAGTGGAATAAGGCTGGAAGTCTAGGTCTTCACCAGATCCTGGATACTGAGTGGCAGGCTCAGGGTTTCAGATCAGGCACAACATGGTGTATTTGATGAGCATTACAGCTATTGACCAGACATTAGTTCATGGTTATTAGCTCATTGTTATCCGAGTTCGTAAGTCGGCGGTGACAGATCATCTGTGTAGGTATACCTTAGCTCTACTTTAGGTTTTTCAGAAGCAACAGAAGAAAAGAACAGGATTGAGCACTTATATGAATGCAATAGACAGTATCATGCTAAGTGAGTCAGGCAAGGTGGTGCTATACAGTGGAATTAGAAAGGTGGATAAAAATGTTTTAAAAATACATTAAGCAACCTGTAAGACTCATTTAAAAATATGGAGAAGATTTCTCTCTCTCAAGAAAGTCTATTGTTCTGGGTTATCTGAATGTTACAAAAGTCATGATGCACAAGTTGAGTTCTTAACTTGTGGAACTGGGGAGTGTTTTAAGTATCTAAACTTTGTCCTTTGGTCTGGGAAGAAGTTACTCTATAAGGAACAGTTAGAAAAGTTTCTTGGATGTACTGACCCTGGATTCCTTCACTGTAAACATTACTAAAAAAACCATATATATGCGCATGCTCCGCTGTGTTTCACAGTATTCCTGGTAGATGAAGGGAAAGTTTGTGTCTTGCAAAGAGCTACACGGGTCACCAGAGCAATATTTACACAACTCCAAACCCCAAGGTATTTTATAAATAACCAAACTTTTCTCATTTTCATGTGCACGATTGTGTGTGGAATTGGCTTATAATTGTACTTATATCTCAGAGTTCTGTGCTTCAAGAGAGGCATGAGATGATATGACACAGAGTAAAATGAGGCATTTGAACAAGTTTCATTCATTTTAAACTATTTATTGAACAATGGTTCAATTTAAACATCTATTCGAGTTTTATTCATTCAAAACTATTGAATATCTGTTCTAAGTTTTGGAAAGAAAATTTTATCTTTTCTAAAACCCATAAGCAGTTCTAGGAATAACAGCAGGGAACAAAAATAATAATCTCTTTCTTCAAGGAGCTTACATTTATAGTGAGACAGAAAATAAACAAAACTATGCAGTAAAATACATAATATATGAGATATGGAGAACAGTAGAACACGGAAAGAGGATAGAAACTTATGGAGACCTAGATTTCGGAGAGGGTGCTTAGGGTGGAATGAGGCACTATTTGAGTAAAGAACTTAGGGACATGAAGGAGTCAGCGAAGCACTAATTGAAGAAAGGATATTCCAGGCACCTGGAACAGGAAGTGCAAAGGCCTTGAAGCAAGAGCTTGCCAGCCTGGCATCTTTGAAGAATAAGGCATAGATTGAACTGAGTGGAAAGATCTTTGGATTTTGAGATGAAGTTAGAGGTTAGATGACAGTGGAGTGAGAGCAGGGAAAAGTGATAATGCAGGACCATGTAAGACACAATAAGGACTTTGACTTTCATTCTGATTGAAGCAGGAGCTGTTTGCAGATTTGAGCAGAGGAATGACATGATCTGACTTATGTTCCAAAGGCATCCTTCGGTCTGTGTGTTGAGAATAGATGAGGGTGAAGTGGGGAGGGAGGTGGCAGAAGCAGAGAGATTCTTGGGAGTTATTGCTGTAATCCAGATGGGTGATGTGGAAGCTTTGATGAGGATATACTTGGTAGTGCAGGGATGAGAATGTTTGAATTCCAGCAGTTGATTTTACACATTGATATGGTTCTAGTGGTGGATA